TCCCTCTCATATTATTAATAGTATCATGCAATCTCCAATCTCTCATTCATCCAAATTATCACTTAGGTGTTCCTACAAGTTTATGTTCTGCCTCAGGTAGGCCAATCTTGAGTCCTGTGTATCTCTGACTATGCCAGAGTCATGGTGGTAGTTCATCCAAGCTTTTTGCATGTCAAAAATGAAACTGCAAATCTTGTCATTAATTGATTTTTCAATGTTTAACCAAACTTGGAGATCTAGGGAAAATGCTACTGGTCATGATATATTGTCCTTTTCATATATTCACAGATTTGATTCACTAACATTTTGCTAATCATATTTAGGCATATATTTATTGAGAGTATGGATTCATAGTTTTCTTACAATCTTCCCTTTGGCTTTTGGTGTATTAGTCTATACTTCCCTTAAGAAATAAGCTGTGATTTCTGAAAGGATTTTTTTTTTGTAGGATTGGGACTATTTCTTTCTTGAACATTCAATAATATATACTTATTTGTATGTTACCCTTTTCTGCATGATATGTTGTATAAACATCAATTAGTTCAAGTTTGTTTATAATAGTATTTAAGTCTTCTGTATTTTTACTAATTTTCTGTTTGTCTTATCAATCACTTGAGAGAAGGGAGTTCAGATTTCCAACCGTAAGACTAGTCTATTTCTCCTTTCAGTTCCATTAGCTTTTACTTCATGTATTTTGTAGCTATAGTATTTGGTATACAGTTAGGATGGTTTTGACTTTTGCATTAATTAACCTAATGATTGTTATTTATCTCTAGTAATATGATTTTTTATCTGACATTCAACTTTCTTATACTTAGAGTAACTTATCTATGCTTTATACTTAAAGATTGTTTTATTATAGCCAAAATTGTTTGGCTTTTGATTTTTTTAATCCAGGTCGACTCAGACTGCAATTTCTGTCTTCTATTTGGAATGCTCAGAACATTTACATTAAATGTAATTATTGATATGGTGACTTAAAAGATACATTTTGCTGTTGGTTTTCCATATTCTCATCTGTTCTTTATACCCTCTTTTGTCTGTTCCCTTCTTCTTTTTGATTAATTTATTATTCCAGGTTACCTTTGCTGACACCTTCTTGTATTATCTTTTAGCTGTAACTTCTTGTATTAATTTTTAGCTTTTTTTCTACATTTAGCAATATACATCTTTAACTTGTCAAAGTTTATCTTCAAATAATATTATATCATTTCGTAAGTAATATTATTGTTAAAATAGTATACTTTCATTTCCCCTGTCCTTTCCTTTCTGCTATTGTTACCACATGTTGTACTCAATTTTTGCATTAATTCCTACAATGTTATTTTTTTTCTTAAAAAATATTTTTTCTTAAAAAAAATTCCTAAAACAATTTTTAGATCTGTAGATACTTCATGTATACAACTTGATGTGGTTGGAGATAAGTATATCCTGTGATAGTATTATTATCAATTTCATAAATTCAGGTATTATCTCTAAAATTTTTCTCCTGCCTCCCCCCTTTTTTATTTTTGTGATTAAAGGGCTTATCATAAGATCCATTTCCTTAGCAATTTTTAGAAGAAAACAGTACAGTATTGTTAAATATAATCCCCGTATTGTACAGTAGATCTCCAAAACTTACTTATTTTGCATAATTGACCCTTTGACCCTTTGACAAATACCACTCTATTCTCCCTCCCTGAACTCCTAGCAACCACCATTCTACTCTCTGCTTCTATGCGTTTGACTATTTTAAATTCCAGATTAAGATGAGATCATAAAGTGTCTGTGTTTCTATGTCTAGCTTATTTCATTTAGCATTAAATCCTCCAGGTCTATCTATGTTGTTGTTGTAAATGCCAAGACTTCCTTCTCTTTAAGGTGGGATAATATTCCACTGTATGTATATGCCACATTTTTAAATCTATTTATCTGTTGATAAACATATAGGTAGTTTTTAATATCTTGGCTATTATGAATAATACTGCAATAAATATGGAGTACAGCTATCTCTTCAAGATCCAAATTTCTATTTCTTTGGATATGTACCCACTAGTGGGATTGCTGGATCATGTGGTAATTCTATTTTTAATTTTTGAGAAAATTCCATATTGTTTTCCATCACAATATGTTATTTTAATAACTCTATAACATCTGATGTAGTTGTTTTATTCTCCTTAAAAATAGTTTTAATTTTTTATATTTCCTTATTTATCTAGTCAGCTCAAATACCTTAGGGATATTGAATACTTATCTGTGTCAGACCAATTGAGTTCAAGGACAGAGATGTTGAGGAAGATAATCCCTACTGTGGAGGGCTCTATGCACAGGAAAGTATGACTAATCCCTTCTTACCCATCCTAGTCCATTTGGGCTGCTATAAAAAAATACTGTAGATTGGGTTGCTTAAACAACAAACATTTCTAGTCCTGGAGGCTGGACATGTGCACTCAAGGTGCCAGCATGGTTGGGCTCTGGTGAGGGCTATCTTCTGGGTTGGAAACTACCATCTTCTCCTCATATTCTCACATGGTAGAGAGATGGCAAGAGAGTTCTCCCAAGTATCTATTATAAGGACACCAATCCCATGCACAAGGACTCCACCCTCATGACCTAATCACGTCTCAAAGGCCCCATTTACTAACACCATCATGTTGGGGGTCAGGATTTTAACATGAATTTTGAAGGCACACAAACATTCAGTCCACAGCACCATTTGCTAAAGGACTCAAGCAAGGCTTGATGCCAAGCCTCTTCCCAGTAGTAGAAACTAATTAGATTGTATTCCACACATCCTATGGGCTAGAGGAGTAGGGATGGGGATGTGAGACTTCCCAAGACTATTTAACCCCAACATTTTGCTCTGTTCCTTTACTAAACAGGATTTTCAAGGTCCAGATTTTACTCATGAAAACATCTTAACCAGAGGTCTGATACCTACAGGTGGGACAGTAGTGATTGTCCCAAGCAATAGTGAGCGTGAAGTACGAGAAGACGCTCACAATCTTGTTTTCTACATCATCCTCTCATGGCCTTCCATGCCCCTCATGCCCACCCTTGCATGTACCAGTTCAAACACAATTCCTTGTTCATCTGGAGGTTGTTCGTAGTTTTTCTCCAGCTTGTTGTTCTGTTTCCTTTATTCCTCTCTGGGATTGATTTTGCTGAAAGTAACCAACAACTTTAAGAACAATTTGACTAAATAACAGTTGTAATTTTTGTAGACATTTATGGAGAGCCCCCTATGTGCCTGGCATTCTTTGATGGTGTAGAGATAGGGAGATTAGGAGCATGTGGCTCCTCCTCCCCCCTAGAAATGTCACCACCTATCATAGGAAAGACACAGGTAATCGCATAATTGCTATGATTGCATTATCTGTAAAGTTCTATGGAAACACAATTGAACAAGAGATTAATATTGCCTGAGAGAATCTCATTTCATTGATAGCTATTTATTGCTTATACCCAGAGTATTAATCCATAAACATCTGAAGTTGTTCTTGTGTGTAGCTATAGTTCAATGGCTCTTACCTGTGGCTCAACATTATAATCACCAGGGGAGATTTTTTCTTAAAAAAAAAAAAAATTCTTCCCAGGATCCTACTCTCAAAGTTTCTGCCTAGCTATTTGAATTCTTAAAAGCTCCCAGGTAATTTTATGGGCAGTTGAGAACTACTGTTATAATTCTTTTCCCCTGTTATCTTTGCTATTATTAGGTTATTCTATCTTAGTATAATGGTATTCCCTTGCCAATCAAAATTCAGTTTAAAATGTTCTTGTCTAGTTTAACAAATCACCTGCCAAACATTGTCATTGTTACTATTTTTTTTCTGAGATATGCTCTATTTCCCCATGATGAAGTAGTGGCCAAATGTCCAGAAAACTATTTTTTATAACAAACCAACTATAATTCAACACAGAACTTTCTGAAGTATCTGTTTTACTGTATGAGACTTAAGTCAGCAAGAGAATATTTCTAGTTCATTTTCTAAGTACATTATCAAAAATACTATTTAGTAGCCCAGTTGACCTCTTAAATTCTGTAATTTACACCAAAAATACCACACTGCATAAATTATATATGTGAGACTAAATATTTAGTTTCTTGGAATTCTTAAGAAACAGAAAAGACCATACAATTCTCTTCACAGATTGCAGTATATCAAGGACAACCAGAAGGTACACTGACATGGATATTGAGCAAAGTGTTCAATGTAGCCAAGTGTAAAATTTATAATGACAACAGAAAATTTTAGGCATTTGTGCTATTTTCCAATAGCATAAAAATAAACCTCAGTGAGTTTACACCTAGAAGGAAAAAAAAAGTTTCTTATGACACTTCTACCTGTGTTATCATAGCTTCAGCTGCATACCTCATGTGTGTAGTTTGGTTGTGCAAATCATTGCTAAAAAATATTGTAGGGCAAATGTGTACTTAATTAAACCAAAATTAAAAAGTAATAAAATTATTAACTGTGTCTGGCTAATACAGCTATTATAGTGACAGGTAGGTACAACAATAATTTTCAAAAGGTATGAATCATGATATTTGTTTCTGCTTGCAGGGACAGATCTAACAAAGTTTCATCTTTGTATACTTTGAGCTAGGCAATAGAAGAGTTCATCTAGCAAAGAATACTATTCATATTAAATTTGATGACTTGTAAAATCTTCAATGTAAACTAAAAGTAGTATGGATGGTTACTTATAGATCTCATTTGTTTTTAGCTGACAGTTAATGGTAATAGGGGATTTTTATTTGACTTTCTGACAACTCCCCCTCCTTTTCTTCTTGGGTGGAAAACTTTCTAGATTTAAGATTAATGAAAACAGTAATCATTCAAATGATAAACCTTTATTTGTGATATAGCATATCAAAAATAGCCATATGTACGGAAGTCATATATAAAGAAATAGCCATATATTGGAAGTTCATATATTTTCTAAGGAGGTGAAGCAAGGTTTATTTGCAAACACTTTGGGCTCATTTGCTGTCCCTGCCTCTCCATCTGTTTCAGTTGGTTTGTCATCTGTAGAGCAATGGAATGGCAGTCCATCTAATTCGACCTGCAATTCTCAGTTCATTTAACTAGGTCAGCGGCTGGTATGCTGGAGATTGTGTGAGTATGTGTGTATGTGTGTGTATGTTTTCTTTTGTGTGTATAATTTTTTTCACTGAAAAGAGAACTAGCCAACTAATAAGAAGAAAACAAATCTCATAGAGAATATATTCATTATAAATCCCCAGTCAGATTCAGTCAGACTTAGTAAGTTTTTCTGGAAGTGTCATTAGTCTCAAATTATGACAATGTTTTCCTAAGTTAGACCTCATATCCTCCAGGGAGTCACCCACCATTAAATGACAACAAAAGTCATGGCTAATTGTTAACATCAGTTAATACTGAAGAATGGAAATGGGGGAGGACTTTCTTTAAATATTTGTTTGCACTACTATTAATATTTGGTTTGGATTTTTAAGCAATGATTTTTTATTGCTGATTTGCTTGAGTTCTTTGTAGATTCTGGTTATTAGCCCTTTATCAGATATATAGCATATGAATACTTTCTCCCATTCTGTAGGTTGTCTGTTTGTTCTGTTGATTGGTCCCTTGGCTGTGCAGAAGCTTTTTAATTTAATCAAACCCATTTATTTATTCTTGTTGCTGTGATTGCCCTTGGGGTCTTCTTCAGAAATTCTTTGCCTAGGCTGATATCTATAAGAGCTTTTCCAACATTTTATTCTAGAATTATTATGGTTTCATGTGTTAGATTTAAGTATGCATCCATCTTGAATTAATTTTTGTGAATGGTCAGAGATACAGATCCTGTTTCAGTCTTTTACATGTGACTATCCAATTTTCCCAGCAGCATTTATTGAATAGGTATTCTTTTCCCCAGTGTATATTGTTGTCTGCTTTGTCAAAGATCAGATGGCAATATATGGAAGATTTTATATCTGAGTTCTCTGTTCTGTTCCATTGGTCTATGTCGCTATTTTTGTACTAGTACCATGCTGTTTTGGTTATTTAAGCCTTGTACCGTGTTTCCCCCAAAATATAAGACATATTTATTTTTCTTCAAGAAGACACTCTAGGGCTTATTTTCAGGGGATGTGCTTTTTTTAAGTACAGTACAACAATCTACATTTATTCAAATATAGTTAAGTCGTCTTCTTTTGGAACATCATCATAACTCTCCAAGCCCCAAATTCGATCCTGAATTTCTTGCGACTCTATTTCCTTTAGAATCGTTGGCCCCAATCTCTTATGTCTAGCAATAGAACTCTAATGGGACAGGTGAGAAGGGCTGCTCGTCTTCTTTACCACTCTGGGACCAAATGCATGGGTTGTGCAGATACACTGTGTAGCCACGCCTATCACTAGGTCTTATTTTGGGGGTAGGGCTTATATTGCACAAATGCTTAGAAATCCTGCTAGGGATTATTTTATGGGTAGGTCTTATTTTTGGGGAAACACAGTAATACAGCTTAAAGTCTGGTAAAATGACGCCTCCAGATTGTTCCTTTTGCTCAAGGTTGCTTTGGCTATTCGGGCTCTTTTCTGGTTCCAAATGAAACATAGAATTATTTTTTCCAGATCTGCAAAAAATAATATTAGTATTTTGATAGGGATTGCATTGAATCTATAAATCACTTTGGATAGCATGGATATTTTAACAATGTTGATTCTGCTGATCCATGAACATGATATATTTTTCCATTTGTTTACATAATCTGCAATTTCCTTCTCAGTGATTCGTAGTTATCTTTATAGTGATCTTTCACCTCCTTAAATATATTCCTAGGTATTTTATTTTCTTTGTAGCCATTGTGAAAAGTATTGAATCTTTGATTTGATTCTCAGCTTAACTGTTCTTGGTGTATAGGAATGCTACTGATTTGTATACATTAATTTTGTAACCAGAGACTTTGCTGAATTTATTTATCGCTTCCAGGAGTCTCTTGGCAGAATATTTGGGGTTTTATAGCTATAAGATCATATCATTAGCAAGGAGCAATAGTTTGATCTCCTTTGTCCCCATTTGGATACCCTTAATTTCCTTCTCTTGCCTGATTACTCTGGCTATGACTTAAAACACTATGTTGAATAGAAGTGGTGACAGTCTCCATCTTTGTCTTGTACAGAAGGTTTTAAAAAGAAGATAGACTGATAGTCTATAAACATATGAAAAAATGTTCAATGTCAGTAATCATCAGAGAAATGCAAATAGAAACCACAATGAGATATTTCCTAACCCCAGTGAGATTATCAAATAGTCCTAAAACAATAGATGCTGGTGTGGATGTGGAGAGAAAGGACCACTTATACACTGTTGGTGGAACTGCAAACTAGTACAACCCCTATGGAAAACAATATGTAGATTCCTCGAATAACTAAAAGTTGACCTACCATTTGATCCAGCAATCCCACTATTGGATATTTACCCAAAGGAAAAAAAAAAAAGTCATTTCATCAAAAAGACATTTGTTGCACAATTCACAATGGAAAAGATATGGAATCAAAATAATAAACAATGAGACTTATTTCATTTGATTTATAAAATAGCAACCGAAGAAATAACTAGAAATAAATGATGTTGCAATGCCCTTTGTGATTTTGTACTGAGCCAGTACATGAGAAGATGGAACCAAAGGGAACTTGTGTATACAACTTTAGATTTGTTCCCCCATTTTGAACAACCGCGAGCAACCTTGAACCAATCCCTTCCTTCCTTTTACTTATTTGCCTTTCCTTCCTTTGTTAGTAATTTCTTTTCAATTTTTTACTGAGGTGAAATTCACATAACATGAAATTAGTACATTCACAATGTTGTGCAACTGCCATGTCCATGAAGTTCCAAAACATGTTAACCACCTCCAAATAAAAGCCTGTATGGAATAAGCAGTTATTTCCCATGTTCCTTTTCCCCCTCGACCCTTGGAAACTACCAACTTCCTTCTGTAACAGGATCCAAGTCCAGCTGCCCATTGCCTGAAAAGCCAAAGCCCAAGAGATGAGAATTGATGAAAGGAAAAATAGGTTTTATTCAAAAGCCAGCAAGCTGAGGAGATGGCACACTCATGTTGCAAATCCCATCTCAAAGTTTTCAGGCCGACCAAAGGTTTTTAAAGGGGAAGGAGTTGTGTGGTGGTGGTGAAGTGTTAGGGAGCACTGTAGGAAGGAGTGGTAGAAAGGAGTGGTGGGAGACTATGTACAGATGCTGGCTACATGCAGGTCAATGTATCTTGCTCCAACGGTTATCATGAATAGTGGACCATCTGGCTAGTGTCAGCTAGAGCACAGAAAAATTGAAGATTAACTTCTCATCATTTTTCTTGGCAGGCGGCAGGGAGATTGGGAGGGTGATGTCCTACAATCTAATCTTGGTTTGAGTCAGCTGTTCAAGGCCAATTCCTGGGAATTCTTAAGCAAGCACACAATTGGGCATTGAAAAAGAAAGATATTAGTTAGCATTAACATGGCGTGACTGTTACTGTTACACTTCCTGTCCCTGTGTATTTACCTAACATGGATATTTCCTATGGATCAATCATGCGGTATGTGATTCTTTGTGTCTGGCTTCTTTCACATAGCATAATGTTTCCAGGGTTCATGCACATTGTAATATGTATTAGTGCTTCACTCCCTTTATGATTGAACAATATTCCATTGTATGGATATACCACAGTTTGTTTATCCGTTCATTCTTTGATGGACATTTGGGTTGTTTCCATCTTTTGGCTGTTATGAATAAGGAGCTATGAACATTCAGGTACATGTATTTGTTAGAACATGTTTTTAATTCTTTGGGGTGTATAACTAGTAGTAGCAGTGCTGGGCCATGTGGTAATTCAATGCTTAATTTTTTGAGGAATCGCCAAACTGTTTCCCCCAGCATGCGAATCCTTTTTGGGCTCTCATTTTCACTCTTTCTTTTTTCTTCTGCTCTTCCTAAGGGAGACAACTGTTGTGCTGTAGAGAGATCACTTTGTGGGGTGCGATCCCACTACTGATCAGCACGGGAGTTTTGACCTGCTCCGTTTCCGACCTGGGCCGGTTCACCCCTCCTTAGGCAACCTGGTGGTCCCCCGCTCCCGGGAGGTCACCATATTGATGCCGAACTTAGTGCGGACACCCGATCGGCATAGCGCACTACAGCCCAGAACTCCTGGGCTCAAGCGATCCTCCTGCCTCAGCTTCCCGGGTTTCGGCACCACTTGTCGCGCCCGCCTCGCCAGCAAGGAAGACGTGGCAACCAGAGTTCTTCTGACAGTGCTTTAATGGGGTTCCCTTTAGACTTACATGATGCGGAAGACCCAGCCCGGCAGCGTGCAGGCCGCTATATACCCCAGAAGTACAACCCCTAAGCTGCGATAGGCCGCTCAGCTGTCGAGCCACCAAAGCATTAGTCCATAGCAGGACCCTTTGTTTGGATTCTCGCGCCACAGGGCAACCGACAATTGCGCATGCGCTGAACTTGTTTGCTGCTCTAGGCAAAGCCGGAAACAGGCGCCAACTTGTAATGGCGTTGACACCGCGCCCCACATCACTTTACTTGTGGGTCAGTCCAACCTTTCACTGTAAACCTGGGCAAATCAATTAGTTCTCTGAGCCCCAGTTTCTTCCCCCTATAATGAGGGTAGCATACAATGTTTACTTCACAGGGTGTTGGAAATATTAAATGCTACAAAGTATGTTAAAGTGCTTGGATATTTTGGCATTTGTTGCTTATCGAAACATTGAGCAGAGAGTCAAATAGTTTTATAAGGTGTGGGAGAGCATTTTCCAGTCCCTTGAACAGCTCCTCCATCCCTACCCTCTTCCACATTAGAAGTCCATATTCATTAAAACTCAATAGTGCATTTACAGCCATATTCAAATTTAGGTAAGAAAGATATAGATCTTTCTTTTCTACTCCAACACACCATGCACACCCCAATGCAGCCTTTGCATTTCTTCCTTCTGAAATGCTCTGTCTGCAGATGTCAATGTAACTAGTTCCACAGTTCTTTATGCCAGTAGTCAATGAGTAGCTTAACGGAGGAGTTTTCTCTGAATACCTTATACATAATAATTCCCTTACCCTACTTCTACTTTCTATTTTCTTTATCCAACTTTATTTTGTGTCTTTGTCAACACTAGTGTTCTTTTGCACCATTGCATGTCCATTTATTTATTTGCTTATTGTTTCCCTTTCTCTGCTAGAATATAAGTTTCTTAGGGAAAGGCCTTTGTTTTTCACATTCACTGTTCTTCCCCTGGCACCTAAAATAGTATCTGGAACATAGTAAGTGTCTCAATAAATATTTGTGCCAAAATGGCCATTAACACAACTAATAATATCGCAAAGTTTCTTTCTCAGAAATATTACACTCATTACGCAAAAATAAATTGTTCATTGTAGCAAAATTAAAAATTTTGTCAAATTCCTCCCAATGAAATATGAAAGATCCAAATGTAGAATATATTTTTATGTAGGTTATAAATTCCCACAAGGCTGTCCTTTTACATTTGTTATAGGAAATAGCCTATTATAAGTGTTGAATTAATATGGATCACAATTGGTTTAAAATGCATGATATTTTGCACTGGTATTCAGCCAACATCTATATTCAATTAAATAATCATTACAGTTGCCTGTATTTGTACATTACACTAATGGCAAGAGCTATATTTGCAAGGGCTGGATTTTATTCTGGGATGATATAGGTGTCATCCCGAGTCTGAGTGAGATGCAGAATTTCTAAATTCTGTTCTCATAAATTAGTATGTGCAGCGTAGAGAGTCAACTCATATGAGAGCCTAATTTTAAAATCTCCTTGTGCATGTATAAAGACAACAAAGGAATCCCTCTCTTCTACTGAGTTTTGGGGATAATCTGGAGAACAGGTTTGCATTAAGTTTAGCTGCAATATGTGTCAATTTTCCTCGTAGTTGAATCTGCAGGCAACATCTCGTTTTGTAGCTGATTCACCTGCTCTGCCAGGTGTCCTCACCCACCATATGTATAAATATTTGCTTAAATTCTTCCTTTTTTATCACTCTGTTTTTGTGTATATTAGAAGAACCAGAGCCAATTTGCTAGGGAAGAGCAGCTTTTCCAGCTTTCTTTTGGCTGTTGATGACTTTGGTCTCTCTGAATAGTCCCTCTTGTACTTGGCTGGTATGAGACAAATTTTTTTCTGAGCTAAAAAAGCAGCCTCTGTGCATTAAAAACTGAAAGGAAAAGGTAACTTAGTATCTATCCTAGAGTCTTAAGTTGCATACATGTGTGAGCATCTTCTCAATATGCCTATTTCGCTGGGAATCCTTTCAGGCTTACATTTTTTTCATGTCATGACAAGGTTATTGGCTTTGAAGTCAGACAGGCTTGGATTTGAATTTCACCTTTTTCACTCTAGAGTTCTGCAATCCTGAACAAATTGCTTGATCTCTCCAGCCCCCAGCTTGATCATCTGTGAAGTATGTGAATCTGCAGGGCACAGGTACTGTGCAGGTTTTTCTTCAGGTCCCTGCTTACAGGTCACCTTTTCCTAGGGACCTTCCCTAACCACCCCCTACAAAAGGGCACTCCGGCCTGGTACACATGTAGCATCTAACGTGGCTCCTGGTCCATAAGGGAGGCTCAGCTCATAAAGCCACTCTTGTCTTGGCAAAGTCAACACAGGGGCAGCTGAGAGTCTAGAGCCTGGCGGGTTAATCATTTGCTCTGCTGTATTAATGAAATAGGGACACTGGACCCAATGTAGACACGTAGATTTTTCAAAATAAGGTACAGTCCGTTTGCACAGGATTAAACCAAGTTGCTTGTTAACAAGTAAGCAAACAACAAAAGAACAGGGCGAGCTCCACAAAAGGCAGAAAGGTGAATCTCATCGATCAGTATTTTAATCAAATCACTACATTATTTCCTGATCCTCTATTTATTTTTTTGCAAGGAAGAAAAGAATCTTGCCTACCATGTTACTGATTATTTTTTGTCATTTAATAGGGTATTAATGCAGATATTTGTCTAGAAGCAATCTGGAATAGTGAAAAAGTGGTGCTAAATTAGCAATTAAAAGTTAGGAGTTTAGTTCCTTTTCCCATTAATTAGCTAAATGAAATTTAAAAGGTTTGTAAGTCCCTGAAAAATAAGCTTGCTTCATTTCACTTTTAATAATTATTATTATTTGAGATAGACAGAGAGATGATTGGCCTATTTCATCTTTTAGGTCCCCAGCAATTCCTGACTTCTCTGCTGATTTGGGTCTAGAAAGTTGGAAAAAATTCCAAAGAGGATAAGGTAGGTCCTTATCTAGGTTGACCCATTTAGTGCAAACATAATAAAAGTTTTTTTTTCTTGGGTCTGTTTACTCTTAAAAAAAACCTATTTTTGAGGTCATTATGACAGTTCTATAGGTAAAATAAAAAATATCTGTAGAGGCAGATAATATTTTTTTAATCATGGCCTTGTTACATGCCATTTGCATGGACTTGGAAGTCACTGAACACTTCTGAGTCTCAGTGTTCTCATTTGTAAGATAGGCAAAATAATGTCTAATTTTCAGGATTATAGGTAGGATTAAATTAACTAAGGTATCTAATATATCCAGCCCAAGGTACCTGGACTATTTTGTAACTTACTATTTTTAAAGATATGAAGGCAACTGATAGAATTTACATATTTTTTGGAACTACAACCCAGTATTTAGACTTCCCATAAATTTTAGGCTTTTGATTTTCTATAAGAAGCAACTTGATTATCTTATTTAATTTTTACAACAAAACACAAATCTATTTACATGTGCTCAAGTCACATGTAGATAGATACCATAACCTTGCAGGCAGGACAGATGACACATTAGAACTCTTTTGCATCATCTAATTGTCAAGAGATGGCAATTTGTTGGTTGTCTTATAAGGAGAATAATTTGAATGTTCTAATATCTGTAGTAGACTTTCCTATTGTTCCTTTCTATAGTCTAACCAATATCCACAAGTTTAGTGTGCATGAGAATTCCTCTGTAGCTTGTTTATGGGAGATTTTGGGAGACTCTCATCTGGTTTTTATAGTAGGTGATTTCCACCTTCTATGCATATTTTGGAATTTAATGCTCTTGTAAGGTATAACATTACATCCACATAATTACAGAAAATAATTCCAAGTAGGATAGCTCCAATGCTGTATGAGTAGGTGTTTAGCGTTTTTTAAAGAGTCTCATGACATAATTTTTAGGTTAGCATCAGTCCTTCTTGAAGTTAGGTCCATTTGACTTTATATTTGCCCAAGTTGACTATTTTTGATATTAACTCATTCTTAAATCACATACAGCCTTTCTTATCAGTTCCAAGAAAGGCTTCCCTTTCCTTGTTTTAATAACTGTCACAGTTTTCCAGAGACCCAGAGTGTTGTCTTGATTTCATGCTTCCCATTGGTCCAAAGACTCATTCCTATAGTACTGTCCCTAGAACCCTGTTCCAGCCCAGTGGAGTTAACTCCATCTGACTGTCAGCTCTTCTGGAACTCTGCATATTCTTGTGTTTAGATCCCCTGTTGGCCCCATAAATCTCTTGAGATGTCTCCGAGGCCACACCAACCTCCTGCCTGGACTCTACATGCATTCACCTCTATCCCAGACAAGTGAGAGAAAAGGACAGAGCCTGGAGAATGTCTTAATTCTCTCAGTAAGCTTATCTTTTGTATTATATTATAAGTAGTAGTATATTTATTATAATTATAAGTAGAACTGATAATTCTACTCATAAGTGGAGTAAGGGAACCCTACTATAGAGTTTCGCAAAAAAGTAAGCATTCAATAGCTTTCGTAATTCAATTTTCTCTGTAATACGAGCATGAGTGACTTAAGAAGCCGGATTCTGAGAAAAGAAATGTATTTGACTCTGGTTCTCTTAAATCCATCTGTTGAAACTTGCTATAATACAGCAAACTGTGTGTAGTTTTAAATTGGTGCACATTAGGACATATAGCTTTATGGCCAGAAATAAGGATGTTACTCATAAATAAACCTTACTCAGTTGCTCATAACCCCTTTCATACAGTAATCTGGGCTCTTGGGGTAAGAGTTATATTCAGAAATATCCATGGGAGTCAAACTACAAGTTAGAAATTAAACATCACCCAGTCACCTCCATTTTTCAAAAGTCTCAAATGGGGTATATGTAAGTTGTTACCTTTATGATGACTTACAAAGATGCATCGTTTAGAAATTTTTAGTTTCTCTCTGTTTTCAGATTTCAGGGCCTTTCTTTGCCAAGTTTCAAAAGGAAAAAAAAATAAATGAATCCTCTGGAGCTGAAACAGAAACATTTGGTCTTCTGTAATCCTCAGTTCTTAACCTAATGTGGCAGCTCATAGGGAAACTGTCGAATCTGCAATCCTAATTGCTATAAGTTGCCTCCCATGTGTACACATGTAACAGTCAGGAGTGAATGTGCATTGACAACTCATCTTCTCTGTTCTATGGTTCTAAACATCCTTACTGTGTACGGGTTTTTTTTCTCTGTGACTCTGGGGTAGGCTACATATGAGTGTAGAAAGTAGTTGTTGCCAGCATGGAAGCTAGCCTATTCTGCAAATATCCCTCCTGGTATAGAGACAAACATGAAACTGTGGCATTCAAATGTTTTGTAAAACATGTGGTGGCAGGAATTCAGTTGAAGATTGTTTATTCATGGCCACATTCACTGAGAATATCAAACACAAAAGCAAAAGATTCCATCCTATATGCTGTATCAAAACCTCTAATAAGTTCGTGAAAAAGAGAAAACAACCAAGGAATATTTTCATTAACAATTATTCAAACGCTTAGGAAGCATGGGATTTTGTTCCCATTCTAAAAATGCATGTGGTGTTTGTGTGTACGTGTATGTGCACATCCACTCACTGCAGGGTACCGTTATTAAATCGATGTTGGCAGATGGCAAGTCGTCAATAAATGCTTGCTGAATTGAAAATGATACCACGTGTAATTGACCTTCTGTAACAAATATTTTCTCATTTTACTCTAATTGTAATTGGTGGAGGGATTTTAATAAAATTGACATGGTCACTTATGCTGGGCAAGAGAACTTTCCTAATCTGTTAGTAGTAGGTGAAGAATTTGAAATTTATTGCAGAAAGATTGAAACTTTTTGCTAATTATACCTTTCAAAAATTATGATTTAGAGGTTAGAGACCCTCTATTTTCTAATCAGAGGCTGATCCTTTATTGACAGTAATGAAGTTAGCAGGTTTCCTGTATAACATGATAAAGTGCTAATAAGCACCCCCCCCCCAGCTCTGGAACTGTTTAGAATCAGATAGGGAGTGCAGCCCCCACCTCATTCTCCCTGCCATTTTCTTCCTGTCCCCCACCCCTGAGTCTTTGTACTCAGTCCTTGCAGAAAGCAAATATTTCTCATCAGGTGTTCCTACTCTTTTTCACTAAAGTTGTTCTAATAACAGAAGAAACTGAATTTATTCCCTAGAAGGAAGGTGGGTAGAGAGGGTGTGGGCATGTGTTGCCTACCATAAGGCAACATTTCTTTGAAGTATTGTGTATTATTTTAACACATTCCTGTGATTTTTACATTCAGCTTTATTACATATGTGTACATTTTTATTAAATAATCCTTCTCTGTCCGACTAAATGAATTTGAGAATTTGCTGTGGCTATTTGATGGCTTTTGACAGCAGGAGAATGGACATACACTAACTGTGAAACCTTACGTTTTGTTTATGCCAGCTTCTCATCTGCTAGTGGCCCATAATAAATAAACGTCATGATAATCACTATTCTATGTGTCAACCCCCAAATCTACTTTGCTACCCAACCCAATCTGAGCTCAGTTTCCATGTTTGGCTTACAGCCGGACTCCAAGTTACAAGAAGGGACAAGTAGTCTCCCTCTATCTCTTGTTCAGATTCAAAGGAAGCCAGACCTACTCAGTACACTCTTTTTGTGTCAGCAATTATGGTCCCATACCCTGTGCCAGGCAGGAGCCCACCCTTCCCTTATAGTTTTGTTTCCATTTGATGAAAACTCCATCTATGAATCACCATGGGACTCGGAGTAGCTAGAATCCTTCCCATCCCCAACAGAGGTGGCACATAGATCCGGAGTTCAGCAACAATAGAGCTGGCAAGGGGAGAATGAGTCTTCCTGACTTGATATTATACATGTCAAATGTCTTAATTGGCCCATTCAATTGAAATGTATTCATGGGTAAGTTCTCACTTAAATAACGTTGATTGCCTCACAATGGGATTTATGTGGTTTTCCATTTATTCAAAATTCTGAAGATAAATGGGCATACTCTCTTTGGAAGATTGCCTATTTAACTCATGTTTGATTGTATTTCTTTAGAAGGAAAAGTCCAAATCTTTTTTTCACTCAGTCCCAAATTAATACCAATGTTTTTCATGCTGTTTCCTCATGAATTTCCACACGCTTGCCTCACACCAAATCTAGCTGCAAACCTCAGCTCCTCAGGTTTTTCCAGTAAAAATCTTCCTTGCCAGCCTTACTGAAGGCTTGTTTGTGGGGCCCTGAGCAGGGACCGTCATGCACCCGGAATCTTCCTGGGGCGGTGGGGTGGAGTGGTGGAAAGTGCAAACTCTGGTTCTTGCATTGCCACTTCCATCTCTGTGACTTTGGGCAAATGACTTCACCTCTCCTTGCATAGGTTCCATCACCTTTAAAGTAACAATACACATAGTTTTTGCCTCATAGGTTTGTGGTGGGAAGTAAATGAGTTATTGCATATGAGACATTTAGAACCTTTGTAGTCCAGAGTAAATGCTCAATGTGAATAACTTCCCATTATCTAAGTTCTTTCTTTCCTTCTCTTCCTTTCACTTTCTTCTCCTCTCATCCTTTAGAATCACACACTTTTTTTCTCTTTGCTTTGGAATATAAGTTCAAACAAGATATTTAGTTGCTTAAGCATGTCTTTAGGGTCTCACCAGCTACCCAAGAGGTTTACAGAAATATTTGTTCAAATTACTCAAAAAACAATTCTGAAAAATATAACTGGATTTTTGTCCTCCTTGCTTACAGGGGCTTCAGATTATCAGTTTTTTTCTTTTCCTCCTTTTCCTTCTCCTGTTTCTTCAATAGTTATAAGATGGCTGTAATATTAATATTTGCTTTTCCTTTCAAACTGGCAGCACTCTCAATCTCTTCTCTGACTCTACCTTGCATATTCAGGCTCTTGTTCTCATGCACATGCCATTATTTCAGCCTAAAATGTCATGTCCCATATTTCCTTATGACCAGATTATACACATCCTTTAAAACTCAGTTCATATATTATCTCCTCAGGCGTAAATGATAATTCTCAATTCTGCAACTCAGTGGCATTGCTTATTTCTCAGGAAGTGCTTATTACTTTGTATTTATATTTAGGCATTTATGTTTTTATGTTCTTTTTTAGACACAAAGCTTCTTTAGGCCAAGGACCTTGGATTTTTATCTTAGTTCTACTATGTCAACTGCGGTGTACACATTCAGATAAATGTTTATTGAATGGATAGATATCAGGATGTGAAAGAGAGAATTTCAGTCAATTTTTTGTGCTGGGAATTGGGGAAGGAACAGTTATAAAAGGCAATTAGGAATACAAGGTTTGTGGTCAGTCTTTAGACTGCTGTGTTCTTCTGTCAGCTCCTGAGAGCTTAGATGCAGCAATTCTGCATCCCATCCCAACATGTCATCCTCTCTCACATTGCTTCCAACAAATCCATGCTTGAACTGAATTAAACTAATTCTGTGGCCCAGATGCACAAATAATTTTGTGTCTTTGAAGAGTAATCATCATCTAGCATTCTTTAGCCCACTAGAAGACAAGGACTCTGCCTTTTATCTCTGTATTCCCAGCATCTATAATGATGTCTATTCTAGTGAATGCTCAATTGCCATTTGGGGATGGGTGGATGAAGGGATTCATGTTCCTCCATGCTCTATAAATCTCTATAAATATATATTTGGCAATGCTCAGGCCCAAAAGGGAGAAGAAGAGAGTTTGGGAGCGTGTAGCTAAAGGATTCTGCAATTATAACTGAACTGACTACTGTCATCTTACCGAATTGAGTAAGATGAATAATTTGATGTAAGGTGTAGGTATGTGTCATGGCAGTAGTTACATGGGTAACTTGGCTTCTTAGATCTCCTTTGCTGGAAGGAGATATACTGAGGAAGAATTAATATTCATATTTATTATTATTATTATTTTTACTATTCAATATTAATTTATAGCCAAATTAACTAGGCCTTATTCACACCAAGAAATAGACAACTCTGGCTAAGAACAAGATTGATATCCACAAAGATTTCAAGGATCTGCTGTTATATACATACTTTAGGTTTATCTAAGATGTGTGCACAGTGTGGAACATCATATATCGCCTCTGAAAAAAATCTTAAATGCTATGACATTAGCCACTTGCTTATAATTAAAGTATGTTGCCATTTCACCAAGCTTTCATTTACAGGAGAAAGTGCAAATTCCATTCCCCTTGAACTTTAGCTATTTCCAACTTTTTTCTTTGTTCTTTTCTTTAAAGCTTTGCAACAAATGCATCCCCATATGCTTATATTAGTTAATCTAGTATTAAACATATTGGCTGTGCAAAATGTTGGCACCCATTAATAAATGTTTTCATTTTTTCATTCTCTCTCTTTTTTTAACTTTAGATTCTTCCTTTGACTACACAAGCAACAGCTGTCTAGTTGCCTGCACAGGACTGGATCTAATGCCTCTACAGAAATCTAGGTCAAAACACTTGGAATGCATGAATATCAAACAGAGTTTTCAAAACAGCAAATGAATACATCTTTAACTGGTGACATTTTCCTGTAGCATATGGCTGCAAGCTCAGGGGACTGGATGCTTTTTGATGAATATGTTCCATCAAAAACTAAGGGATGGCAGTAGTCTTTTGCCACCTTCTGTTTTGCCTTATGAAATGATAATGCAAACTCATAGATAGATACAATGATCACAAGGCTTTTACCTTCAGACCTATCCTAAAGATGCATTTTCTTTTTTGGATGAGTTGCTTTGTCTTTAGTTGGATTTGGGTTTTATACATAGCTATCAAAGGTGACAGCTAGTGGGAGCAGTTTCCTTTCTTGGGCAGAATTTGATTGGTGGGGAAAGCTTCAAAAAATTGAACCGAAAGGCAAACACTCACCAAAGACAGGAACTGAGGAGTTGGTCACACGAGTAACTTGTAGCCACAGAGGCAAACCATTGATCCAAATCCTTTGTCAATGTCAATATGGAGGGGCTGGATAATCATTTGCCAATGAGTAACAGAGAAAAGCCCTGAGAAGTTGGAGGCTGCCTCCTTAGTCCTGGATCTGCCAACAATAAGTCAAATGTGACCTAGACATGCTCTATTGTCTGACTTCACTGTCCTTCTCATATGTCAAATGAAAGGGCAGGACTCTATTATTTTGAAGGTCTTTCCTAGTTCTAAACTCCTAGGTTTGTGTAAGTTTATGAAGCTGTTTTATTGCTGTTGTGTCATGTCACTTGGAATGGCACAGCAGAGAAGAGTAGGCCTTGATTTCTTTTTTGATTGGCTGATGATTCATTTCTTATAAGAGAAAAATTATCCAGAAGCTTCCTCCTCCTAACCCATAAAATAAGGCAATGGTGGAGCTGTTGGTTAAGCAAGGGGAGGGAGGAGGGATGCCCACTTGAATTTTCTTGTATCCTACCTCCCAGGGAAGCATCTGAAACCTATATGTGGGAGGCCTGTGTCTCCACCCAGCCTGATGTGAAAACCCCTGGCTTAGACAAGGTGTGTATTAGGAATGGTGGTGGTGGTGGTGGAGAGGAGTGTTGAAACCGCATTTCCTTCTTTTTGTGTTTAGCTAAAGGTTATTAACCAAACTTAGTACATTTCAGTTACAGGTTAAACTTTAAGCCTTATGTTCAGCTCTTGGTTTGGCTTTGTTTAAAAAATAACCAGCAGAACTTGTGATCGTCACAGGAATCTATAAATGGATCATTTTCTTCACAAGGTGAACTTAACTATATCCCTTCCTTTGATTTGGTAATGCCCTAGGGTATTCTTGAAGTCACATTCAGAAAAATATTCATTTTAGGGATGAGTTTTCACTCCCACCAAGTTTATTTTATTCCCCAATGTTATTCCCCCAAAGCTACCACTGTTAGCAGGTTCTTGAGGAGCCTTTAAAAGTAATTATGCATATCCTTATATGTGCATATATGTATTTATTTGTAAATGTATACGTGTGTATGTATTCCTTTTTAGTGAAGTGGCAGGGTATGGTATATACATAGTAGGATCTTGTTTTTTAACTTAATAATATGTCTTAGATATCATCTTTTAGCAGGCATATATAGTCTGAATCTTTCATTTTAAAGACTTCATAATTCCTTATTGTGATTGCATGAAAATTTTTAAACCAATCCATCTTAAAAGACATTTACTTGAATTTACTTTTTTTCTATTTGCTGATAAGATAGTAACGAATACCCATGTATATATGTATTTATGGATATATGGGAGAACACCTAAAGGCAAATCTCCTAGAAATGCTGGGATAAAGGGTATGTGTACATTTAATTTAGGTAGATAGTACCAAGTAATGTTTAACTATAGTTATTATTTGCAGTTTTTTAAAAAAAGTATGACTGTAGTTGAACATATTTTCCTATGTTTAAAATTACTTTTATGTAAAACTCTGCTCATATCCTTTTGTCCATAAATGGAGTTAGGACAACTTAGTAGCCATCTGGAAAAAAATAAAATTGTATTTCTACTTTATTTCCAACACCAAAATAAACTCCAGATGGACCAAAGATTTCATGCTAAAAATAAATACATTCAAGTACTATTAGAAAACATGAGAGGATGTTTTTTTGTAAGTAATCCAGAACTAAGGACGATCTTTCTAAGCATAGTACAAAACCTGCAAGCCATCATTCTAAAGCTGCATAAGTTAATAAATCAATATATATTGAAATAAAAGATGAATGACAAACATAGATGAATGACAATGACACATTGGACAAGAGTTGATTGCTTTAAATGGTTTGTGGCAGACACCTCTTCAGGCTCAGTTTGTAGAGAGTTGAGAGATTGTTGCTTTCACCCCAACAATGAAATTACTCTGGATACGATACAAAATCATAGTTTATTAAAAACCCATCAGAAGACCAAGAAAACAAAGAAAGCTAAACAAAATCAATTCTAGAAAGCAAAGATCCCTTCATAGATTGTAATATGGAGCTGCAGGAGAAAAGGACAGGCCATAGAGCTAAGGAGAAGCCAGCCTAACCCATGGTGGTCTTTCAATTACTCTGGATGTCCTGGCATGGGAGATTAGAATTCTACACAGCCTCAGCCACAGACTTTGCCAAAAGTGTGTTTTGTTAGTAGTCTTCAGAATTTTTGTTTTTCATTTATATTATATTTATATTTTTGTTTTCCATATATATTTATATATTATATTATACTATTTTTATTTATATCATTCATAACATTAAGTGTGGTTGGGTTTCATTTTATTTCATTTATTTTGACTGCAATTCCTTTTTTTATTATAGCTCAATATTTTTATCCATTCTCTTCTCTAAGAACATGCATTATTTCTGGGTGACCAAAGTGCAACAGTAAATATTCTTGTACATTCTTCTGGTACATCAGTACTAAAGTTTCTATTGTGTTCATACCTAGGTATGGAAATTCTGAGTAAGCAAATAGTTAACTTTGCAAGATGATGCCAAATTACTTCCCAAATCAGTTGTAGCAATTTACACTAGCATCAGCAATGTAGAAGAGATCATATTGAACTGTATTCCCCCCGACTCTTGGTATTATCAAGAATTCTTAATTTTTGCAAGATGAATATTTGTAAAAAGGTACCTTACTTTTGTCTTCATTTGCATTTTCTTCATTACCCGGGATGTTAACTGGATTTACATGTTTCCTCTTCTGTGAAATGCTTTTTATGTCTTTTTCCAATTTTTCTACTGGATTTTCCTGTGCTTAATGATTTTTAAGAATTCTTTAAATTTACTTAATACCAACCCTTTTAAGATATATCTATTACAAATACCTTTTTCCAGTATGAAGTTTATCCCTACTTTCTCCTTTTCTTGAATAACAGCTTCTTTTCCGAAATCTCACACACATTTCTATTACATATAAAAGTTCCCTATGTCCATGGACTATTTCTGATTTTCTATTTTATTCTGCTGTTCAATCTATCTTTGCATTAATACTATATTGTTTTAATTACCATAGTTCTATAGTATGTTTTTTTTTTATCTGGTAGGGAAAAATGTATTGTGATGAACAATTCTTTGTTTTCCACATAAATTTTTGAATAAACTTGTCAAATTCCTTGGAGAAGTCTATTGGGAATTTGGGAACATATTAAATATATAGATTAATTTAAAAATTAATTTAAAATCTCTTCAGCATATTATTTATTTTCATAAATATGTGCCATTTTTCTATTAATTTATAGCTTTTTTAGTGACCTACAATGAAATATTAAAATTTTGTATGTAAGTCTTTCCCTTTTTTTGTTGAATTTATATATTTTATAATTTGGATTGATATTATAAATGGTATATTTTTAAAAAATACATTCTATTGCTTATTACGATAGAAATGCAGTTGGCTCTGGATATGCAGACATCTTACTAAATTCTTGTATTTTTCTTACTAATTTACTGACTGTTTAGGAGTTTCTACATAGACCATGATACCAAATGCAAAATAATCAGTTTTATATCCTCATTTCCTACCTTAAAGCCATTGATTTTTTTTCTTATCATGCTAGCCAATATCTCAAAATAATGTTGGATAGAAGTAGTGATATTGGGCATTCTTTTCTTTTTCCTCATTTTAGAGGGGATGCTCTTAATATTTCTCCTTTAGAATGATGTTTATCATTTTTCAGGTTAAGAAACTACCATTCTATTTTCATCTCATTTTCTTCCAGTAGCTTTACCTCTATTTTACATTGCTTTTAATATTGCATTGGCAAAAATAACTTATTAATATTGGTGACACTGGAAATTCCTCTAATGTTTTACTTTTATTTGTGATGGTGTTGGTTGGTTATGTTTGGGCTCAGAAACTCATACTCCAAAATACGGTGCTTTGTACATGTTGAACTGAACAAGAAGCCTCAAGGTCTCTCTTGCCTTGCAGCCCCCAACCCTGCCCCATCACTCCCAAAGCACAGGATGAAGTTGTTCTCTGAAGTTTCCTTATCTGCCTAAAGTCTGGACATACCAAAGAGGAAAACAATGACCTCTGGTTCCTTCCCTGAGTTTTCATTCACTGAACCCATGTGGTAGGAAGGAAGACAAGTTTGTCAACAAACTTGGGCAGACTTTTGTCACAAATCAGTGTCCACTGTGCTGGTCCAACAGACCTTGTCCCAGACCGTGGTGTGTTCTTCAAGCCCATTGAATTCCCCTTGTAATCATTTACTGGCCCCCAACAGAATCCCTCTTCTCCCTGCTTCCATCCCCCGTTTTGTCAAGATCCAGCCCTCATTCTTTCTCTAACCTCAAGATGGTATAGAAGCATCTGCATCCTTTTGCAGGCTTGGGTGTTCATTCTGAAGGATCCGGTGTCATGTAAAATATGATCAAATAAATCTGTACGCCTTTTCTCCAATTAATCTGCCTCTTGTGAGTTGATTTTCCAGCGAACCTTCTGCGGGCAAAGCGGCAGCTTTCCCTTCACTCCTGCAGTTGGGACAGAAGTATATATTTTCTTTCTTTTTTAAGGGCATGGCTTTCCTAATATCAAATAGTTAGAAACTCTGAAAAATAAATTGATTTTTATATTATTATCTGTTTCCTAGAGCTTGTGAGGTATATGATTGAAATGTTTTTTGAAAGTTGAAAGGAATTGACTCAGAATACTTTGTAGCAAGCATCTTTTTCTTAAATTAATTTTTAGTAAATGTAAAAAAGTTCTCATGTGTTCTTCTTCCTTTTGGTCAAATTTGCATTCTGTAGTCTCGGTCATCTTGTTTCATTAATAAT